GGGGGGGTTGTTTGATGCGTGTTCTAGGCGACCGGGTAGTTGTCGGATTTTGGAGGGGTTTGTGTACAGGCACGTTGTTTATGTATGTTAAAGGGGCGTGTCACTATTGTGTGTTAAAGGGGGTATGATTTCGTACGGCCATGTTGTTGCCGTTCTATATGCCGGTATTCGGTGTGACCAAGTTGTTGTCGTCTTTTGGAGGGGTCGCGTTCGGGCAAGTGGACATTACCTTTTGGGGGCCTATATTGGGTGTATCAATCTCGGGTTGGGGGAGCGGTTCCCGCAGCAAGGGTCCGACTCCGGGGAAGGAAGCCGCACGAATAGAGTTGGCACCAGGCAGGCGCAAAAGGCTGTGGGAAAGGGGGCAGTGTAGCGAATTTTGTGTGCAATAGATGGCGCCACGCGACTGTTTGGCGTGCACACGCGTTAGCGTATGCTAGCCTAGCTAGCTAGCCTGGCGTTCCAAAAGGGGCGTGGCCTGTCACACTCATTGTGTCGCCAGCGAATGGTAGTGAGGTGCTTGAGGAAGGAGCGTGTTTAGAACGTCTCTCTCTCTTTCTCTGGTCTAGGACTCTAGGTGCTTGAGGGAGGACGTGTTTTGTGTGGTCTTGCGTCCAGGCAGCCGGTGATGTAGGACGTGTTTGTGTTTGTGATGGGTTCAGCCTCATAATTCTACCGTGCGTTCGAGCCGTCAATGGTGTGCTGAGGCTAGTACTAGTAGTGCTGATGTAAACGATCGACGTAAAGTGCCTATAGAAAGAGGGAGCTACTGTAACTTGAGTGTATTCTACGTGTGTGCGCATCCGCGTGGTGTCAGCGGGGCGACCTCTAGATGAGGATGGTGAGAGCAGCGTGTCCGCGAGCGTGCGGCCAGTACTGTAGGCAATAAAATCGGACCCCCGGTCCATTCGCATCTACGCTACATCTATCTCGCGCTTATTTCTCTCATCGCCGTGCCGCTGCTGAGCCTGGGTTGGGCCGTGACACCCGCGGGTCGTAGAGAAAACCGAATTCGTCACACTAGATGACCCCAATCCGGGTGTGGCCATATTTGAAATTTGCCAATATGGTGGCCCCGGGGGGCGCCCATTCCGGCGCCCGCCAGAAATCGAAAAAGTATGGTATGGGCAACATCTGGGCCAAATTTGGTGCTTTTGGAAGAATGTGAACCAAACGGCCCTTTTTTAGCCCTACCACCCCTGACTACTGTAAATTCCGTCCAAATCCTATGTGCAACATACGCTGGCGGCCGCCATTCCTCACGCGGCTGCACTGTGCACACTTACACTTATATATATAATATCTTGGGTGGAGGGACACACATCCTGATTGTTGTTCTCTGCATGGCAAAAACTTGTCCAATTCGCCAACAGAGAGTTGCAAAAATAGAACAGGTTCTAATCTCTCAACCAGTTGCTATTAACCAGTTGCGCACGCGACTTTTACGTTTACTCTGCCGATTGTCAGAACTTCATATAATTACGAAATTGGTACAATACGTCAATTTGCCAGCTTTAAGTCGGTACTGTGTAAACCCAGCTTTGATGGAATTTTTTGACAACTTGTTTAGTTGGTGCAGCTAGATAAACACTCGCTCGATGGAACTGATAGGCCTATCCAGTGACTATCCACCTGACCTAATTGACAGGCAGCTCTAGCGAATCAGCATCGTTCTAAACACAGTGCTTTGTAATGATAGGCCGCAAAGCCGATATTTTGGCACAGACTGGGAACAAACTAGTTAACTTGATTGACTTGTTGACAAAACCACATGTGGGCGTGGTTATCTTACCCAGCTAGTAAGGTTAACTCCGACCACTGCTGTCGGTGTTAGCAATAGTAGCCCGTCCCCCCATTTCTGCGACCGTCAGCGTTTGACCAGGACCGGCTCATTTTTATGTATTTAACTCACTATAGGTTATGTAGTAGACATCAAAATTTCTCGCAATTCGGGACCGCCTGGCATTTTGCACTCATTTCCGAGACCACTGATGGCGAAAGACCGCTGCATGTCTTTCAGGTACGTGAGGCGATGGAGCTGGCAAAGCCACAGCACGTGCACGTTGCCAGCGAGTACCCACTAACAGAGTTTGTTGTCGCGATGGGCATCTTCATGGTGTTCACCGTTGAGGAGGTGATCCTAGCCATACACGGCCGGTACCACCACGGCCACAGCCACGGCTACGCGCACGCCGCGCATCTCAAGCAACCGACGGAGACCACCCGTCTACTCGACAGTGGCGCCGTCGCCGGCACGGTCGCTGTAGCGACGCAGACGCAGAGCAGCTGCGAGGAAGAGGACGTGCCGTGCACGCGGTGCGTTGACGACCCTGCCGCGTTTGCCGGCGACGCCTACAGCGCAGTCGTCGACGTGCTGCCGGCGAAGCTGGAAGGCGCCACCGCAGCCGTGCCCGCCGACGAACTGTGTGAGACGCACGCGCGCGATAAGATCCGCGTGCTCACGCTGCTGCTGTCGCTGTCGCTGCACACCGTCTTCGAGGGGCTCGCGCTCGGCCTAACGGAGACGACGACAGCGATCCTCGCTCTCTTCTCCGGCATCGTCATCCACAAGTCCGTGATCGCGTTCAGCCTCGGCGTGCAGTTTATGGCGACGCGCTACGCGCCGCGCGAAGTCGTCGGCTTTATGCTCACGTTCTCCGGGATGACACTCCTCGGTGCCGTCATCGGCATCATGCTGACAGAAGCGGGAAATACCGTCGACGCGATGTCGATTGCCGTCCTGCAGGGTCTCGCGGCCGGCACGTTCATCTACGTGACCTTCTTCGAGGTGATCGGCAAGGAGATGACGAACCAGTACCCGGGACTGCTGAAGCTGTTCATGATGGTCCTCGGGTTCGGGCTGATCGCGATCCTCTCGCTGTTTGACTGGTATCAGTAGTTGTGTAGGTAGGCTTCCCACTCAACTGCCTGCCTGTCGCTGTTTGACTGGTACCAGCAGTGATGTAGGTAGGCTTCCCACTCGACTGCCTGCCTCTCGCTGTTTGACTGGTACCAGCAGTGATGTAGGTAGGCTTCCCACTCGACTGCCTGCCTCTCGCTGTTTGACTGGTACCAGCAGTGATGTAGATAGGCTTCCCACTCGACTGCCTGCCTCTCGCTGTTCGACTGGTACCAGCAGTGATGTCGGTAGGCTTCCTACTGGACTGCCTGCCATTTGTCGTGTCAACCGAGAGAAGACTGGCGATGCTCAATTTTTATCGTACGGGTCGGGACAAGGGGGCATTGGCTATCGGTTTCAGGTGCGCACAGCACTGGCAAGATATTAGAGACATGCACAAATGTTTCGAGATTAATTTATGAAGGAGTTTGGGAGAGCTGGCAGTTCACTGACATTGGATTTATTCTAAGGTGTATTACCGTTATTATAAGCGGTGTGCTTGTGAAATTATCCATATACTTAGCAATTGTCTGCAATGGATTGAAAGAGCGATGGCGATGGTTTTATTGTGTACAAGCATAGATATATACAAACACATGATACAAGGTATATATTAAGGTTGAGATGTTTTTGGAGGAAATATTTTAATTCGTGCAGTGTGCTATGCAAATTTTTGAAATTTGGAAGGGCAGATAGGCCATTTCCATGCATTCTGGGGGAAATTGTAAGTCCATTCCGCTCTTAGTAAAAGACCAATTTCGTGACTAACGATTCAAAGTCTTGTCATTTTCTATGAAAATTTCAATGTTTTATGTGGCGGTTAACTTAAAGCATGCCCTAATTTACATTACATAGATACACCGCAATATTTATCTGGAGTTCTGTTACTTCTGTGTGAAATTTGATGTACCTTTCCTGACTTTTTATGAAGTTTAAATTAAAAATGGCATCCATTTGACAAAAAAAGTATGCATTACCCCCCTAAGCTTTTTATTATTTTTTTTGCATCAATCTCAAGAATGACTAAAATGAAAACCAAAACCCGGATTCGCGGGAAATTCTCGTGCCTGAAGATAAAATATTTATATACATGTTTGTTTATTATGTAGAGGTACATATCATTGTTGAAAGCAAGGCAAAAGTTCATAATTTATTTGCATTTATAGAGAATTAGGAATAAGGAATATATTTTTGTGACTGGTTGGACTACTTGCCACATGTATAGCTTCTTTAAGATTATTACGTCTTTTGTAAGGTGCCAAGAAAATTATAGTGCAGATAATCATTGTTTCTATTTTCACGAGTTTATAATAATGAATAAATAGTTATCAGATGAATTAGATTTGAAACCTTAAATTGTGTTACACTTTATTATCACAGAATTTCACATGACTAATTTCACCTAAAATGTGAAACTAATATACACTCATAATAAAAAATCAAATTGCAATATGGAAACGAGGATCTTGGTCAGTAAAAACATGAACATTTAAGTCACTCTTTGTAGCCAATCCTCTCTGAACATTAGGTACGTACATAACTCAACTAGATTGACAAACTCTTGATCTGCTATATCTAATATATCTAACCTATAGGTTATATAAGTAATTTACATAATTACAGTTAAGTTATATACAGTACTTCACAAGATAATTGCAATTACTGACATGCAGTTACCTGAAGTAATATATAATTGTGCACTGTGTACATTTCTCATAGTACTACACTTAATACCAACTAAAGAGCGATTTATGTGATCGCGTTGTACCCTACAATGTGCAAATTTAACACCGCCCTATTTGGACCAGTGAAATAATAACTTGCCAGTAATCGATCGACATGTAGCACCACTTACTAGTCAAAAGTTATCTTGTATCACCCATACTATATATCTGTATTTAGTCATTCTTAAACCTGCCTCCGCTTGAGGCAAACGGCTTCAGCAACTGTGTTGCGATTGTTTTTGTAACACGCTTTGACCAGCAAAGCTACTCGTTTGCAAGGTCATGTGGGCAGCCTTGCCCCAATAAAATATTAAATACATATGCGCGTTACAAGCGTTATGCCTACACTTCACGTGGCATGTGCATAATCACGACACAATACTATGAATTTCTACGGCAGGATTCACGAGATTGGAACGATTACAGTTCTTTAGTCCTATGGGTCGTTGGTCCTACGGGTCGCTGGTCCTACGGGTCGTTGGTCCTACGGGTCGCTGGTCCT